TGGATCATTTGATATATAATCAATGTGATTGTATTGATCATGTAATACATAAATCTTATAGAGATATAATCACTATGCTTATAGTGATTATTTGATATAAAATCACTTTTATTATAGTGATCATTTGATATATAACCACTGCGATAATATTGATCATTTGATATATAATCACTGTGACTGTATGGATCATTTGATGTATAATCACTTTATATTCATTATAGAGATATAATCACTGTGCTTATAGTGATTATTTGCTATAATATACTCACTGTGATTATAGTGATCATTTTATAAATAATCGCTTTGATTATTTGATCTATAATCACTTTGATTATTGTAATCATTTGATCTATAATCACTGTGATTGTTTATATGTTATCACTGTGATTATAGTGATCATTATATATATAATCACTGTGATTATTTAATCACTTTGATTATAGTGATTATTTAATGAATTATCAGTGTGATTATAGTGATCATTTAATATATAATCACTGTGATTAAAGTAATTATTTGATATAAATTCACTGTCATTAAAGTGATTATTTGATATAAAATCAATGTCATTATAGTGATTATTTGATATAAAATAACTTTTATTATAGTGATCATTTGATATATAACCACTGTGATAATATTGATCATTTGATATATAATCACTGTGACTGTATGGATCATTTGATGTATAATCACTTTATATTCATTATAGAGATATAATCACTGTGCTTATAGTGATTATTTGCTATAATATACTCACTGTGATTATAGTGATCATTTTATAAATAATCGCTTTGATTATTTGATCTATAATCACTTTGATTATTGTAATCATTTGATCTATAATCACTGTGATTATTTATATGTTATCACTGTGATTATAGTGATCATTATATATATAATCACTGTGATTATTTAATCACTTTGATTATAGTGATTATTTAATGAATTATCAGTGTGAATTATAGTGATAATTTAATATATAATCACTGTGATTAAAGTGATTATTTGATATAAATTCACTGTCATTAAAGTGATTATTTGATATAAAATCAATGTCATTATAGTGATTATTTGATATATAATCACTTTGACTATAGTGATCATTTGATATATAATCACTGTGATTATTTAATCATTATAATCACAGTGATTATTTCATATAGTATCATTGTGATTATAATGATCATTTTGTATATAATTACTGTGATTATAGTGATTATTTAATATATAATCACTGTCATTATAGTGATTATTTGATACAAAATCAATGTCATTATAGTGATTATTTGATATATATTAATGTATAATAACTGTGATTGATACCAAATTTATCAAATAATCACTATAATCACAATGATTATATATTAAAAAATCACAGTGATTATATATCAAATGGTCACTATAATCAAAGTGATTATATATTAAATAGTCACTATAATCACTGTGATTTTATATCAAATGATCA